TGATTCCGTAAGTCCCCAATTCCATAAGTCCCCAATTCCATAAGTCCCCGATTCCATAAGTCCCCAATTCCATAAGTCCCCAATTCCATAAGTCCCCAATTCCATAAGTCCCCAATTCCATAAGTCCCCAATTCCATAAGTCCCCAATTCCATAAGTCCCCAATTCCATAAGTCCCCGATTCCATAAGTCCCCAATTCTATAAGTCCCCAATTCCACAAGCTTCCAATTCCATAAGTCCCCAATTCCACAAGCTTCCAATTCCATAAATCCCAAATTCCATAATTCCCAAATCCCTAATCTCCCAATTCCTAAATTCCCAACTTCTCACACCCCAAATTCACAACCTTGAAATTCCCCAATTCCCAAACCCAAAAATGTCCACCCTCCAAACTCCAAACTTCCCTAACTCCCCAAACCCCCATACCAAACCTCCCAAACCCCCAAATCCCAAACTTACACCTCAACCTCCACAAAACCCAACTTTCAAAATAAATCTCCTCGTCATAAAATTTTCACATCAATGCACCTTGCACGCATCCCGTATACCCGTGCCTGCCCATCTCTGTTCTAGAATCACGAATCTCCCAGGCAATTTAAACGAAATGAAAGCTCTGCATCCGTAGAAGGCAAATGAACGCATAATTATGCAGAAATCGCTGTCACGATTCTCATTACTTAACGCTATAAGCTCTCGTTTTTGTTATTCGAACACGGTCGTTCGTGCCGATTCACAGAAATTAAGTCACTTTCGTTTCGGCCTGGTCGAACGGAATACTAACGACCACGTCCCGGGACCTGACAACTCTGACGTGTGTAATTTGTTTTATAACAGTCATCCCGATCCGTGTCAAACGGCGAGTAAATTGCCGAGTTCAAGTCGCGATATTCTCGTTTCTAAACGAGACTGCCTTTGGCCGGCTGATTCGGAAGTCAAGTAGGTCGTACGCCTGCTTCTAAAAGCATCCTCCTCTCTAACGGCGGTGCTAATAAACGTTCTAATTACACCGAGAACGATCCTATTTATTTTCTTTTCGAAAACGTTAATGGACTTTTTATACGCCTTTTAAACATCCTCTGTTATTCCACACGCCACGTTGAATCATTAAACTTCCCCGGAAAAATTTCTACTATTTCGTCACACTTGTTCTAACACCTTCATCTATCAATGTTTATTACCCCTTTTTTTTATGGATACACTTTCTAGTTGTTAACGAAATTGTCGATGAGTAACGGTGTAATCTTCTGCGTCATTTTCGTATGACAGGGCACTTTCATTGTTTCGAAATGGTGAAACCGTTCGAAAATTTCTCACGTGACATACCCTAATAGTATACATGAAAGCAAGGTAAAATATGTACATGTGCATTTTAATCATATATACATGTGGACTTCAATCATATATACACATATGTGGAGGTGAATCACATATGCATACATGTGGGGTTAAATCATACATATATATATGTGGACTCAAGTCAAACATACATATGTGTAGATATAAATGACACATACATACATGTGGAGTTAAGTCATACATACATACATGTGGACTTCAATCATACATACACATATGTGGAGTTAAATCACATATGCATACATGTGGGGTTAAATCATACATATATATATGTGGACTCAAGTCAAACATACATATGTGTAGATGTAAATCATACATAGATACATGTGGAGTTAAGTTATACATACATACATGTGGACTTCAATCATACATTTACACATGTGGACTTCAATCATACATTTACACATGTGGACTTAGATCCACATGTATGTGGATGTAACAGAACATGTACTCACGTTCTTCATACAATAACAGTAGTCATGTGACACATACATACATGCATGATTATACACACATGTGGAGTTAAATGATACATACATACATGTGGATTTAAATCCACATATGTGTGTGGATTTAGCAGAACATGTACTCATGTCTTTCATGCTATAACAGCAGTCATATGACAGTGACCTTGAAGAAATTCATTAAGGTACTTAGCAAAGTATATGTGGATTTAAATCACACATATGTACATGTGGATTTTAATCCACACATGGCTGTATCAGAATATGTACTCATATGACAGTGTCTTTGAAGAAGTTCACTAAGGTCTTCAGTAAAGTGTATGTGGATTTAAATCACACATATGTACATGTAGATTTCAGTCCACATATGAATGTATTAAAACATGTACTCATATAACAGTGTCCTTAAAGAAGTTCACTAAGGTCTTCAGTAAACTATATGTGGATTTAAATCATACATACATACATGTTCATTTAAGCCCACATATGGACCTATCAGAACATGTACTCATATGACAGTATCCTTGAAGAAGTTCACTAAGGTGTTCAGTAAACTATATGTGGATTTAAATCATACATACATACATGTTCACTTAAGTCCACATATGGACCTATCAGAACATGTACTCATATGACAGCGTCCTTGAACAAATCCAGTAAAGTATTTACTAACGTCTGAAACACTATTCCAAAGGCTACAGCAAACGACTCAAAAAGTGCAGGTGCGTCAGAAACATATGAAGTGAAATAAATGAACTCACCGATTTGAAGCAGCTCGTTCTCTCAGTTCACCCTTCCTTCATTCTCGGCGACCCATTCCCGGGTTCCTCCTCAGCGCAGTATAAAAAACCGATCGTCCCCGCGACACTCGACCAGCTTCACGATTACGAATCACATGTGCCACTGAACTCCGACTTCACCAGATGATTTACCGAATAAATCGATTACCACGATACCACGCGCGTAGGTAGATCTGAATGGAAGCTCGATCGTCCGGACGATCGAGGCTACGACCGGCTCCACGTGCACGCGGTTCGACTACCGGTCGCGCTTTGAGGATCGGCTGATTGCGTCCAGCGTGGACGAGGAACTCGAAGAAGAGGGCAAGAGAGTAGGGAGCCGAGGCTGCTGGAACCACGTGTCGTCTCCCGCCAGGAATCGCGGTTTCACGCGGATCGAGAAGTTCGACACAAACCTTTGGGAATTTTATTTACAGGTGCGTTGATTCGAAACGAATTAACTGTACTGTCTGGCGGAAGAAACGCTTCGCGACGCACGGAACCTCGTGCAAAATCGGCGTACGCGAGCGCCGATCCACGCGGTACGATGGCCGCCTCCGTACTGAGCTACGGCGACCTTAAACGCCATTCGACTAATACCGGAATAGGGACGGGACCGGTGACGATAACCCCGAAGATACCGATATCTTCGCGGACGATTGCCTCGAAAATCGAGCGGATCGACTTCCTCTCGACAATCATTTTTATTTCGGTCATCCGAAATTAATTCGAACGTGATTAATCGGTTCTTCGAACCAGTCGTCAATCGATAATTATAAATGTCAGTCTGTAATCGACTGATTGCAGGTTCTGATGGAAGTTTACCTTTGATGGCACGTGTTCGTAATTATTCTTTTCCTTCTATTTCGTCGGGTATTAATTTTAATTCTGGGGTTGCAGAAGGGAAATTGATTGCGATTATTAATCAATGTTTGACAATCTGCATATGTGAGCAAGCTGTGAAAATGTGCATATACATACATGTGTGCATATGCATACAAATGTATGCATGCATGTGAGTAATAATATACATACTCACATATGCTTGTATGTAACTATACGTACACATGTGTGCATGTATATATACATGTAAGTGCATGTGCACATGTGATCTTATATGGAGATGTATGCACTGAGGTTGCAATATTGTTCACATTAGGTGTCGATGCACACATGTAGATGCATGTATATGCATGCACGTGTATATACAAATAAATACATTCATGCATATACACATATGTATGGATATAGATACATGTACACATATGTATGGACTATATCATTGCATATACATATGTCCATGTATGCTTATACAAATAAATTCATACATATACACATATGCATGTATGGCTACATACACTACAAGCATGTGTATACATATAAGTATCTTCATATGTGTACATCCATGCATGTGTGTACATTTAAATACCTTCATATGTGCACATCCATGCATGTGTGTACATTTAAGTACCTTCATATGTGCACATCCATGCATGTGTGTACATTTAAGTACCTTCATATGTGCACATCCATGCATGTGTGTACATTTAAGTACCTTCATATGTGCACATCCATGCATGTGTGTACATTTAAGTACCTTCATATGTGCACATCCATGCATGTGTGTACATTTAAGTACCTTCATATGTGCACATCCATGCATGTGTGTACATTTAAGTACCTTCATATGTGCACATCCATGCATGTGTGTACATTTAAGTACCTTCATATGTGCACATCCATGCATGTGTGTACATTTAAGTACCTTCATATGTGCACATCCATGCATGTGTGTACATTTAAGTACCTTCATATGTGCACATCCATGCATGTGTGTACATTTAAGTACCTTCATATGTGCACATCCATGCATGTGTGTACATTTAAGTACCTTCATATGTGTACATCCATGCATGTGTGTACATTTAAGTACCTTCATATGTGTACATCCATGCATGTGTACACATATAAATACCTTCATATGTGTTCATCCATATGTACACATATAAATACCTTCATATGTGTACATTCATGCATGTGTACACATATAAACACCTTCATATGTATACATCTATGTGTACACATATAAACACCTTCATATGTGTACATCCATGTGTGCACATACAAATACCTTCATATGTGTACATCCATCCACATGTGCACATATAAATACCTTCATATCCAGACATGTTCAAGCAAGCATAAAGACAAATTCTATAATATTCCATGAACATACCTAAACAAGAATATATAAGAAACATAATCAGATGAATTGCAGAAGCAAGAAAAACTAAAAAATCAGAAATGAGAGTGTAAGGAGAGGAGGAGAAAGGGTGAGGTAGAACGGAGGGGCCGTTATACGGCGCAAAGAGAAGATCGTAGATATATTTACGTACGTAAGGTGCACGTATATGTACGTAACTGCCTACCAGTACGGTCCCTCTCGCCTTTGGGCGAAGTGGGTCGACCTCTTGGAGAACAGTCGAGGCCGACGGCCTCCTCTCGCGCTACCTGCTTCGTCCAGAGTCTAGTCCTGCGTCTCCTCCCTCTGTGGACATCGCTTTGAGCGATCTTTCTGAACAGAATCCATGATACGCCTTGGGAACGTTGTTATGGAATTGGGAACTCGGTTGATACTAGGTTTGGAGGACAGTTACTTGAGAAAGTTACGAAATTTTAATGTGGTACAGTAATATATTATTTTTGTCGTATTTGAAATTTTACACACGTTGCATTTTGCAGTCTCTATGGTGAATATACACGTTGCATTTTCTAGTCTCTTACATGCGTTGCTACTCACTATGCGTTGGAGTTTACATACGTTGCATTTTCACGCGTTGGATTTTCTGCGTGGTAGATTTTCTATGCACTGGGCTCTTCAGGTGTTGGATTTTCTATGCTTTAGATTCTTTACGTGTTGCATTTTCTATGCGATAGATACTTTACCCGTTACAATTTCTATGTGTTCGTCGTGTACGAGGTGGACTCTCATTATATTGCCGAGAACGGTATCACATGTTGCATTAATTAGCATTATGTTCTCCAGGTTTTGTTTTTAATGAACTGCATAATTAGTCTGATGGTACATGCTGGATTTCAAGATACAAATAAAAATTTTAGACTTGAGTGTAAATTGAATGTTTCCCAATTCCATAATTTTCTGATACCATAATTTCCCAATTTCATAAGTCTTCAATTCCATAAATCCTATATTCCATAAATCCCCAATTAAATAGTTCTCCAATTCCATAATTACCCAATTCCACACGTCCCCAATTCCATAAGTTCCCAATTCCGTATTTCCCCGATTCCATAAGTCCCCAATTCCACCAGCTTCCAATTCCATAAGGCCCCAATTCCATAAGTCCCCAATTCCACAAGCTTCCAATTCCATTATTCCCCTATTCCATAATTCCCCAATTCCATAATTCACCAATTCCATAATTCACCAATTCCATAATTCGGTTTCCCAAATTTCCTAAATTCCCCAAATCCCCTAATCTTCCCCCACACCCCAAATTGCATTAATAATCATTACATTCTCCCCCAATTCCACACGTCCCCAATTCCATAAGTCCCCAATTCCATAATTCTCCAATTCCATAAGTCCCCAATTCCATAAGTCCCCAATTCCATAACTCCCCTATTCCATAATTCCCCAATTCCATAATTCCCCAATTCCATAATTCCCCAATTCCATAATTCCCCAATTCCATAATTCCCCAATTCCATAATTCCCCAATTCCATAATTCCCCAATTCCATAATTCCCCAATTCCATAATTCCCCAATTCCATAATTCCCCAATTCCATAATTCCCCAATTCCATAATTCCCCAATTCCACTCCTCAATTCCATAACTCCCCTATTCCATAATTCCCCAATTCCATAATTCACCAATTCCATAATTCCCCAATTCCATAATTCCCCAATTCCATAATTCCCCAATTCCATAATTCCCCAATTCCATAATTCCCCAATTCCATAATTCCCCAATTCCATAATTCACCAATTCCATAATTCACCAATTCCATAATTCGGTTTCCCAAATTTCCTAAATTCCCCAAATCCCCTAATCTTCCCCCACACCCCAAATTGCATTAATAATCATTACATTCTCCAAATTTTGTTTCTAACAAAATCCATAATTACTCTAATGGTACATACTAGACTTCAATATCCAAATAAAAATTTTAAACTAAAATAAAAATTAAACCCTCAAATTAAAATTTAACTAAAAATTGAAAATTTAATTTTTCCCCAAAATTAATAACTAAAACTTGAAGTCTCAAGTTGAAAAAAAAACATTAAAGGAAAGGCCCAAATTCAAGTAAAAATTAAAAACCTGACATTGCAGTGTTTTGTAAGCATTGGAAAGTCCGTGCCAGTTTCCGGTGTATTCTTTCTTGCCTCTCATGAAAAAATAATTACGCCCAATCAGAGGTGATTAGATTTCCTTATCCAAGTTTCGAGAAACGAGATAGAATTGTTACGATGGCAGACAAGCCGAAACACGGGCTATATGTGGCTTTCGATGCCACTCTCACCAGTTTTTGAAGTTCTCGCTCTAGTTCTTCGGTCTAACGAGTACCGTCTTCTACGAAGCGGTAAGAAAAATTTGCTACGCCCTGCGCAGCCATGTCCCCGTTTAATTGTTTCTCCATCGACCGCTCAAAATTCCGCCTCGAATCGGAACGACTTTCTGTGGAACTGGGAGGATTAACCTGTTGCACTATGATTAAGTGCGTCAGGTATGTCAGGTGCGTCAGGTACGTCAGGTACGTCAGGTACGTCAGGTGCGTCAGGTGCGTCAGATGCGTCAGGTGCGTCAGAGTCATAGTTACAATATTAGGACAAAGAAAGTTGAAATATTGTTTCGATTTAATGTCAGCTTGATTAATTATGTTAATGTAATTGTTGACTATGTAATTGAACTCAAGAATTAAACTATATTCAAATAAAATAATAAAATTGATCACCAAGTGCGTCACGAAGTGCGTCACGAGTAAAACTGCGAGTGTTACCGCAGTCTGCAAGCTTGAGATAACAGCATTTGAATATAAAGTTTCGGCAAAATTGCTGTTTCAACCGAGTGTAATATCTTTACTTGTTCGTGGCGCTAAATCCTCTTCTTAACGCTACAGCGTTGTAATTTGTATTCCAGGGGCGAGAGCGTAAACAATCGTGGAGAGACGATTCGCGCTTGCCAACTTGGCAAAGGAACGCGTTCATCGGAAAAAGGAAAATAGAACGGGAATTTTCGTGGAAGAATTGTCGAGCTATTCGACGGTAATCAACGCCATGGCTTTAATACAGTTGACTCGCGTTATATTGCCGCACTGTACACTTTTATGTATAGTGATATGCTTTATTGTATTAAAATACAGAGATTCATTGTCAATGAAATACTTTGTATTGAAAGTATGAGCTTTGTAGAGTAATACAGTTGACTCGCGT